TACAGTCTTTTAAAACGAGATAATACAAATTCTTCCATTTTATCTCTGTGTTTCTTCGAAGGAAAGAGAACCACGGGTCTTGTCTGGCCGACTTCCGAACACCCTCTGGATTTCCGACTTCCGCTTACTGAACTAGTTTGAACAGCCGATGTCTGCAATTGGGTCCCTAGCTTTCAAGCGTTTACACCCTATCAAGCGGGGTAACTCACCTGGCGAACCTCGAAACCTGTTACTCTCTCCCGTGCCTCCTATTGCCCACGATCTCAAAGAGGAAAGAAGGTGTCCCACTGCCCCGCCCAAATCTATCATGCATCTTGATCGAGAGGAATTTTTTGTTATATGAAATTAGGTACTGGACTCGTTTCTGCTCATGGGTAGAGCTAGCATCCGAGTAGACTTTACTAGTCCTCAAGCGTCCAGGTTGAACTGCGTAATCCAAGCGAATCTATTAGAGAACTATATTCGTGCTATCTTGGACAGTAGCATGTCAACGACGGACCCTGGTCTACGCAATTCTATGATATCCGGGTTTCTGTGGTCTTAGCGTGATTTTTAGAGCACCCTCATGCCAGGTGGCTGCCCTTTGGTCTCAACCTCCTTTTGGCGTGGCGCTGGACCCGCCCCGTCAATCCGGTATAGCTGCGTTCGAGCGCGAAAATCCGAACTTGCAAGTGACAGGAATTCTAGAAATTCATCTGCCAAAAACTGAGTAGACTCCACCAGGTGTATCCTTCTTCCAGGTGCCGGCTTGATTGTTCCGATACTCCCACAAAAACCGTAAATCTTCCTTATGCGACATGTCGCCCTCCCACACTCCGCACTGATTGATTCACGACTTCCCTGCAGGCTCGAAATCGGATGTATGCGAACCTGGAGCTGTTAGGGCGTTCGTCGCCTGTTCTCCTGGGTCTTCGGTGTCAGTGAATACATACCACGCGGAATCATTTCAAGACAACGGTAACAGTAAATACCTGCGAGGTAAAGCCAACAACTTGAAGGTGAACGTTCCCCGTCCCGTAATTTCCATTACATTGGGAGCGTAGGCACGGTCCGGTTCCTCCGCGATCACGTGTACTATATCCGTAGTTTCCCGCTTGTCCATAGCTACATCCGCGACCATCACTAGCCATCAGGCATTCTCCCTCTCGAACCTAGCAATACGGTTCCAACATACTGGAGTGAAAGTCCCAACGAAATGCACCCACTCTTATTGCCGATATATCCAACAAAATATCTTGTCGGTTCGAAATTTTCAACGACTTGATTGCTACCAACTGCTCCATGCTGCTCATTACTGGTTTACGTTCATATCTATATATAGCACCCCATTTCCCTTAAAAATTTGTATTAACTCTCCGTAGTGGAGTAAGTATGAGCCTTGGCCGGACTTTGTTAACGACAACGGTTTAACATGGAATGTGCATCAGATAGGTCCAAGAAGGGTGGCGAGTGTTAACCACGGGACTTGAGACTGACTAGGAGTCCAGGCCTTCAATCAGCACAAATTGTTGATAGAAACGGGACAAAATCCAGGGGTAGCTTGCTTTGGTCAGAAATATTTGTTGTGCAGTGTCCTTTTAAAATTCCATACTAAGAGTCGTATCCGATAACAATTCCATTGATTGAAGCTACGAAAAGATTCTGTGATCAACAATATTCTGTCTTGAGCTAAAATATGTGTTTAAGTTTTCGAGTCCTATTTGACAGACGTTGCACAGTGGCTGGGATTCGAGGAACTACAATGAAGTGAAGCAAGCGTCTTACATGGAATTGTCAATTTTGGCTGTAATCCGTATTCGAACTTTGTTCAAAATTATTGGCATTATCAATCCGGTAAGGATTATCTGTGATGCGGAGAGAACTTTCAAAGGTCAACTTGTATTGGAGGACCGAGTCTTTCATAGAACATTACATACTTATAATTAGAACATACTGAGGAACGTAGGTTCATGGCGTCGCTGACACTGCAGTAGCAATCCAAGGTGACATAATACAGCAAGAAAGTATACTTGTTTCACCATGGTTGCATTCAGCTTTGATTCAGATCAAAACTTACGCAAGGATTACCGCCTTTCGCTCGCCTCACACCGCTTGAATTTGTGTTTAGGCCTCCAGCTTGTCGCTAATCGCTATGTGAGAATCTCAAGCAAATTCTGGCATCTTCTAATACCTGCCATTCAGTAGAGTGGATCCGGCTATGTACTGAGAGAATGTCTACTCAGAGCCCTGACAAATGCCGCACTTTACCATCGGTGCATGGATGAACATTCAAGAATACCTTTTGTGCTACTGCGCACGGTTCTGGACAGGCCAATGCTGTAGTATTTCTGGATATCCGCGGATCAGACGATACTGTGGTTTTGGCCGTGAGTCGGAAGAACATGCTTGCTTGTCTATTCTTGTCATTTATTCCCTCCGGAGCAGCCAGTCGAATCTTGTGCCTGGTCCACGCTATTTTCGGATGAATTTCATATATCGTCGGATACACGGCTCGACGAGGAGTGTCGAGTCGAATCAAACTGCAAACTGTTCACCGGCCTCGTGTGATGGGACACTCCTAGAAAGGTCTAGTAACGAATCAGGCTTGATCTACCGATTCGTCCTACTTGTTAACCCGGCATCTCTAACTATCCTTCCCGATATATTGTCGGTCAGCTGAATCTCTTGAAAAAAACTGGGCGCCACTGACATTGGTATAAAGGTGGGCATGTTGCCAATGACATTTCCCCAGTCAAGCTCCGGAACTCGTATCTAAATCAACATTGCATTCACCCCCACACACACACATCTATGTGCACCTCATCATCATCCTCCGTCGTGGTCTGCGATCATTCCGGACATCGATCTTCATCTGTGCGCCCAGCGTTGACTACGTCGGGCCCGAAGGGTCGCGGTGCCAGCGAGCCTCAATGTTGCCATTGTGGGTGGCGAGGTTCGCACGCCCCAGGGTGTCCTTTTGGGTAAAGGACGTGGAACCAGGATTCTGTGCGTTATTCCGTCTTATTTTCTCTTTTCTCGCCGCTTACAAGCCACTCTTTAGCCACTTCGCCATCAGAACTCCCACTCCACACTGCGCGCGCTCCATGCGTTCTCTTAATCATTTCTTCACGGTTCCATTCGAATACAGTCCATCGCCATCATAATTGCTTTTCTCGTGTTGCCGCTTTCCTCACCTACCATATATCTATTCCGTGTATCGTACACCGTCGTAAATGGCCTGCACCTGTATAATTGTACTAACTAAGTCTCTGCAAATTTATTCCTGCATCCGAGTCGGAGCTATGAACGCCGTTTCATCTTCTTATTCTGTATTTGGAATATGTCCGACTCCCTGGCACCTGTATCTGACGGAAGATATGTTCAATCCGAAGAAGATGTGAGACTATGACAGCAGATGCCATGAGCAAGTATCGCGCGTTTCGTTCACCCCTTCCTTTGCTGGATGATCAATTCCCAATTCCTTTCTCTGTCTATGGTGTGAGGAGGAAACCTTGTTGAAGTACGTGGAAATTTCAGGAAGCCGGATCATCGGTGGCATTTCTGTAGAGCTACCATCATGTGCGCTCCACATACAAGTAGTCGAGTATATTACACCATAACGCGCACTAATTCAATACACATGGTGCGGTGGGATTCTATTTGACAGACGCGCTATTCCAACTCCGGGACGTAAGTAAGGACTCGGGAGACATCATTTCCTGTTATAAAAAAAAGCCCACTAATCCCTGAAACAGGTTTAATCACCGCTCCACTTCCTATGCCTTAACAGCTTTCTGAAGGTCAACTTCGTCTTGTTTAACATTCTCTATTTATATAGATGCGACCTGGAGACCGCCTGTCATATCTTCGACTTGGTCATTGCTATCGCTCATCGGCGACGCTTTCGGGGGAATTGATCATATACAGACCAACATCGTCTTCGCTCCGATACAGGCTTGCATACAGTGGAGCCGTCCCGGCCATAGGATGCATCCGCTATCTAGGATGTACCAAATTGGTCAAATTGCAAAGACACGAACGGGGGACGACACTCACGACGGTTGGAAATTTGCGCCAATAACATTAGATGAAGGAAGTGAGAAATGCCATGCTTGATCCTTGTGGGTCCCCGGTCCGTACATGAGGCAATTGCTGTGAAAAGTCATCATGAAGGCGAAGGCTTTCCATAAGACAATTCCCACATAACAGGTACTCGGAATGCTGTTCCGAATATTCGTCAACGGCGTCACAAGGAGAGAACAGATAAGATATCTTCGCCTGAGGGATCATAGAAATAAATCAATTGACAGGCTGCCGAATCAAGCCGCATCTTATATGGAATTAAGGAATGAAACACACACAAACAGCTTCCATCAAAGACGTGATTAACATGAGAGATACAGCGTATCTGCTGGTTTATACAGAGCTAGTACCTTGCGCATAGATCAGTTCCCAAATATCACCCGCGACGAGGAATATTAGTATACGGTGTCAAGAATTGACCAGGAAAATAGTTGGATGACGACTGAATACCTGTTAAGAAAATTGGGACGTTGTTCCGAGTTCCGTTCGCAACTGATCCGGACCGCCTTTTGCTCAGGACTCATCTGCTGTTCCTGAACTCTATGCACCACGGATGCTTTGCTAGTTCTCTTAAGGATACCTCGTTCCAGAATACTGTCCCGAGGAGAGGTAGGACAATCATAGTAAGGAAGTGCCGTCGAACTAATGCCTAGCGTCTAACCATCAAGGGTACTTACCAATTGAATCCCGAGTTCGAAGCCATATAAGTTTTCCTACGGAACCTTCCGCTCTGAAATTCGTAAGGTACAGTATATAATCCAATAATGATCGAGCTTCGAGTGTGGAGCGATCATGGATGGCTGGTGAGTGGGATTAGTCCACGAAATGAAAGATGCATAGTCCACAAAAAACCCTTGTGGAGCGTTAAAAGTACAGCAAGATTGGAAGGAGCCCCATCGGGACGCTGTACGACCAGACATTCGGCTCTCAGAATCCAGATGACTGGCTGGGCTACCAAGGTTGACATTAGGAGTGAAAAATCCAGCGAGCAGCGTTCCGGTACGCAAGAACAGCGATGTCTCCGCATTTGTTCTGGGTCTGAATCAGAATTAGACCTTTTGTTAGAGGAGATTGAGCCCGTTATAGGTGGGTTTAAAGCGAAGTCTATACACTTCACAAGCCACAGATGTGGGACGGGGACTTTCAAAAAATACCGGCCTACGCGCATTAGTTTCAGTGCATAGGTAGATATAAATGGACGTAGTTGTGTCCGTCTGCACGGAGAAGGAAATTATTCTTAAGACACCTATACGAGATTCACGGATCGCTATGAGAAAAATATTCATCATTGGTTATGGCAGCCATCTTTGTTCTCATGAAGCACTTTACTTCAGGGTCATCGCGGTAGATCATCTGTTCGACATTCAGCAAGCGCCGAAAGGCAGACTATTGAATGTCCTCACCGTTAACATTGTAGGTAGACCATTGAAAAGGCACTACGTACAGTAATACTGCTAGTTCACAACGGCGAATGACTTGAGCCTATCCAATGGAAGTCACCTCAACACTGATGAAGAAGGGACCGTACAACGTCGTCTGATCAATCATTTCGGCGCGGCAGGAAACCAATAGAACGGTCTTTGAGAGTTGAAAGAAGAGGGATTCGATTGGATCAGCCAAAATAAGTACAACACATGGGCGCTACGCCTTGAGAACTGCGGAGGCTGGGCGGAAAAAATAACATGCTATCTGAAACAAGTTTAGTGTAGGAAGATGCGAATAACAGAGTACGAATACAGATGGCGAACCTGAGATTGTGCTGATAATACAAAATAGTCGAAGGCAGTAAAACGCTCCCGGGAGAGTGCCAAGAATTATAGTGTATTATTAAATAGTTACGTGAGAATGAGGACATGGTTGGTTTACCTCGTTTCTGACGCGACGCAGACTATAGGGAAACCTGAGTATCAAGGGGGTATTAGGCCTCGAATAGCATGCAGAGATGTGCGCGGCCGAATCACATCAGCAACGACAGACAGACAAGGTACGGTCGTTGACCGGACTAGACTGAATTGCGATTCTAGAAGATGTAAGCGGGTAAATACAGGTGGATAAAATATGTCGATGTACGCTGATTACCTTATGAAGAAAATAAGTTCTACTACACCAGGAAAGTGCAGAGAAAGGATGGCGGGACAATGAGAGGAAAGTTACAACCTCCAGGTCGCACCCCTGCTCATCATCTCTTGGCGGGTCGGTGTCGAACACCGGCCTTGGAGCTCGAATTTGTTCTTGCGACGAGTTCGTGTAACACCTCCAGGGAAGAGGCCGAGGTGGAAACAGTAGCGGCACTGGTGACAACACAAGACAACACAAGCCAGAAGGTGAACGTAAAGGGCAAGGGACTCACCAAGCACAGGATATTTTCACTACCCTTAAGTATACCGGCAAGCAAGACCAGTTCGAAAATCGACCCGACTAGAAATATCTTTCCCTTGCCTTTCTTCGGTAGGGCTTCGATATCGCCTACGTTCCAACGCCTCGATCATCTTCGTCCTCAAAGAGCCAGGGAACAACGTCGGCAGTCATGCTTGAGCCCCGTCTTCGGATTAAAAAGTCCTTGCTGTTGTGGAAGTTTCTGAGAAAATGCCAGGCGATGACGCACGAAAAACAATGACATGCGGACGACCGTACAGAATGTTTCCCAAGGGGTACACGTTCATTGAGTCACGGATAATCTGGTATATGGAATATTACAGCTGTTTGCATACAGCTTGACAGTAGTATGTGTTTTTTCGCGAGGGAAGAGAGTAGTTTGGACTTGGTCATAAACCATGGTTTATGGACTTGAAGACGCGTTTATGGGTGGTTTATGGCTATTTCGGCGATCTCGGAGGTCCTTTTGCGTGCTTGAAGCTTCCAAAACACGGTTTATGACGAAGTCGAGCTTTCTTCCATCATCCACGAAAACGCCCCTGACTATCAAGCTGTATGCAAACAGCTGTAATAACTTCCGCTTTCTGTGACTGGGTATGAGCGACGGGATACTCGGATAGCAGACGAAGACGTACCCGCAGGAGCTAGGCTGTACCCGACCGTATCGCTAGGTCCGATAGAGAGAATGGGGGATAGCTAGTGATAGTCGCGGATGTAGCTACGAACAAGCGGGAATGTACGGAAATGGTGCACATGATCTCGGAGGACCCGGACCGTGCCAACACTCCCACTATCATCCGTAAACCCTCATATTCATCGCAGACAATACGGTTTTCAGCGAAGATAGTGAGAATAGCTGGGAAAAATCTTCTTGCGTTTGTGGGGTGGTCTGGTAGTACCGTCGTACAAACATTTATTATCTACTCCACTATGGGAAATAATAAACAGTAACAGAACAATGGCGAAATTTTTTATAGAAAGACAAGTGTCTTGATCTACTTCAGTAAAAAAATTTCTCAGTAAGGAGAGCAAAATAGGCCTAACAATACCTACGTGGAATTTACGCCTTAGATGGGCCTGTAAACTCACATTTGTCTGGATCGCGGAGCAAGGTTTCGATACGAAGGATATGACAAGGTAGTCTTATGAGCGACCTTAGTAGCTGGTTTGAGTGATGTGCGCCATCCTATTGCCCTTGACAGTGACGAGGTGGTGGTCAGAAGGCAAAGTGATCTGGATTTCAAATTTTGTAATGTCTTCCGGCCCGTTGCACCCGTATCTTTGGCTGATTACTGTCGTCACCATCGCCTTTGCCTAAACGCCCTCACCGTGTCCTTTCACCGCCCGCTCTCTGGAAATGTTCTCCTAGGACATCTAACTGTTGAACAAAGCAAAAGTGGAAGTATAAGCTCTAGCGCTAGGCTCTGATTGTTGAAACAGATGCGAGGATGACACCAACGCCGACAGGATAGATAGACATGCACACATGAAGAGAAATCGCTACGAGGGTGAAGGATGTGCTATTTAGTGAGGTTCTTTCGATAAATATAACGACGGGTATGTAATATTCTCACTATTGACATCGTGCAAAGATGAGCATGGCAAGACGCGATGAACAGATCTCGAGATACAATCACCATCGTAATAAAAATTCAGGATATTATCTCGTACAGCCTACCAGTATGATCGAACTCCCTAATATCTGTTATGATCTGTTTAACAGCTCGTTTTACAAATTCTGCTTGTCCTTCCGTTCATCGTTGATTAATGAAGAGGAATTTTTGTGTGCAAGGATGCTCGATTACTTGCAGTTTTTAAACCTTTGTTGTATGACTGTGCAGAACTCACTACACTTGCATCACAGAGCAATAATCATGGCGAGGTATCCTGGACCTCTTTCGGATCGCAACCTTACCGCTGTCTAGTTGCACTAGACAAGCAGAATTCGCGGATGATAATAAACCGCTGCTATCACAGATGTAAGTTCGCTTCTGCATTGCGCAAGTTGCTATCCTGACAGTTATATTAGTATAGTTGCCCTATGCGCGATATGATACTCCTCCGGCGATTATATGTATTTTGGATCAAAAGCTTGAATATATACATTATTCTGGTGTGTTCACGATTTAATCCTTCCGTTCCTGGACTAATAACAAATATATTGTCATGGTCATCGTGTTTGGCAGTGACTATTTGATCTTTCTGTGTCAGACTCGATGGTTATTCTCGCAGTCTGCGGATACATTTCCATATACAGCCAATAGAGACTCGCTCTCTGGCCAGAACCAATCCGTATCTTGTAGCTGTGGTTGCAGGTTTCATTTGGGCTCTCTCTCTAGCGACACATCTCTCCGTTGCTACCTTGATCGTGGCTCGTATCTTGTGGATGTCCCGATTGACAGCGTCTCAGTCATATATGCGTAGCGAAAGAGGAATATTATCCCTGAGTACCACCCAAACACGCTCTCTTTTAAAGCTGCTCAGCAGCAGAATCGCGGCACACACACTATAAGCCTCTACGTCACTTTGGTCTGAATGTTTAATATGGCTGAAACTTGCATAGCACACCAAGATTAGGAACGATGTGCCGCAAACCGAAACCATCATCAAACAAAATCATACAAAATCATGGACGAATGACAGGATCAGGTGCGAGGCCGTGCACTGATGATTGGTACCTTTACTCCGGAATTGAAAAACGATTCAGAAACAGTAAATCGCAATGGTGCATTAAAGTTTATAGTATCAAGATGTGACCGAGAGTAGAGTTCATCGGCAATCAGATTTCCCTCCAGAACCATGGGACTTGGCCCGAATTCTGGTCACTAGTACCTGGTAATGTGGATTGTCGTAGACAGATATCCCTGGATAGCAACTTTGAGCATCGCAGAAGCTTGAAACGTCTTTGAAACGTTCTCGTTAGTTTTATGACCGAAACAGCGGGAAACGTCACACTGCGAAGGTATTCATCACCTGGATCCTTAGTGATAAGTTTATTCAATCCAATCCAGGCCTACTTAGCTACTCCGAGTCGCAAGGAACTTAGAGTTGAGTGAAGGATCGACTTTCAAACGCGGAGAGATCAGGGAAGTTTGGCAAATGAGGTTAGTCTGGGAAATGGAAGATCCGAGACTACAAGTGCACTCGATTGAATACCAATAGTACGAGACAATTGAAGGGTCCTGTACCGAGACCTCTAATCTCATGAAGGTTAGGCTCGCAAGCTCCGGAACCGAGGCTGGACTGTGCGACTCAGAATTTGACATCGAGGATAGAAACGTTAAGGAACAGCATCATGTCTTGCCTGTGAACTCCTGTTACCATGAAGAACTGTCATTGTTCCAGGTTATTAGTGTGAGGCCGAGGTCTCGCGTTCCAGTCGCCCTGTTTGTACCGAACGGCCGTCCGCCATGAGATGGCTTGAAAACAACTGTCTGTGTATCTCCACATATCGTCGTGAGGGTCGTACCTTAGGACAGGGAACAAGATCATTGTCTCGACGCCTCAGCAGACGACTAAAAGCACGACGGTTGGTGCATAGTCAGCACGGAAAGGAGATGTCCACATGAGTGCAGAATTAGTAGAAATTAATTAGACGGAGTATCTACCGGAATAGAAATGCCTTAGTGAACGGTGCCGTGACAAGGGGAGCATAGTTTACTTACCTCGCCTTCGGCGCTGCCTAAATTGTCATAAATCACGCTGAAAGCTTCGATTCGGAAAGAGCTTGAGGCGGCGTATTGTGTGGGGGGAAAGAAACCCCGTGCCTGGAGATAACGGGGGAGCTATGAACCATCTCTTCAACGATAGTCAAGCTATAGTTATGTACCCTAGCCAAGGTTCCGCCACGATCAAGCTTCTGGAGCACATTAGTGAACGGCGGAATGGTGAATACAGTAAGCGAGCCTATCACGGTGGTAGTAAATCAAGCAATTTCTTGTACTGTACCAGCTCCCAAAACATGGACATCAACGCATGATATGCAGATCTCAACTCGATGTACAACGCCTTGAGGATATATTGAGGCTCCGTGAATTCATTGAAAGAGAAGGCACCCGTCGCTGAGGAGTCTTCATATCAAAATAAAGAGAGGATGAAAGAAGAAATAAAACATACCATCAAGCAAAGAAGGGAATACGCTGGTCGTGTCTAAGAAAATTCTTCAAAAGTAAAACACTGTCTGGTCGAACTGGAACTAAAGGGTTTCTCAAGATGATAAAATTGCAACAAAAAGCTAACAATATGACGATTACCACCACTCTAGAAAACGAAGAATCCTCCCACAATAGCGCCCACCATGCCGAGCGAAGACAACCCGAGTGCCACCCCACCCCCATTCTTGTCGCTGTTCTTACTCGCAGCCTTTGCAGCACTCGATACACCTGAGCCGGTCGACGCTCCTGTTGTAGTAGTCCCAGACTACAAAAGTTAGTACGAGATGAGGACAGCGGTGTAAATAAACGTACGCTTGCCGAAGTCGAGGCCATGGTTGTAGTTGCTGACATAGTCGCAGTCTCGCCTCCGATGGCAGAAAAAGTCGTACATTGCGAAGACGACGGGATGGGATGCGGAGCAGGGGTAGAGGCGTCGCCTTGGTGGAATGTCGAGGTGCTGTAGACGCCCATAGGCTTGACAGGCTATCAGACAAGGCAGGAAAAAAATCGAGCGAGACACGAACCTCTCCACTATCGCCATTGCACGACTCGAACACGCCAGCATCGTAGTTGGCGGGCATGTTCCACGCGCATCCCATCAAGTCGTATATATGTTCACCTGCACTTTTCTGACTGTTAATCGTTGCAAGAAAAAGAGTTTTTTATACTTACAGTACACGGCAGGTATCTTCCCAGCTGGATTACAAGCCCTGAAGCAAAAATCGGTGGCTGCCATAAAATTCTTGCCAAAGAATGAGGTACGGGTGGTCATACGAAACTACCTAGTACTCACCGTCCACTCGAACATTTGCTGGGTCTTCCCAAAAGCAGAGGAGAAGACTAGACCTTCCAATAGGATTTCCTGGAAATAAAACAATATCAGTTTCGCGCGAGAAACGACAACATGAAAGGTTGACCATTTCCGTCGGCACCTTGAGGATCGAGTTCCCCGCCTTCATCTCCAGCTGGAATATTCAGTTTTGTCAAATCTCCGGAGCCTGAAGGAAGAGCATATTTCAGAAAGGATTTGTATAAAGGCAGGGTATGCTTATACCGGTAATCTGTACAAAGTCGGGCGTCAGAACAAAGTGAGCGCCGGTGATAGTCCCTTCGGGGATGACGCGAGTTCCGTAGCCGCTCTAAAGGGTTTTGAGGAAAGGTGGTCGAGGTAAAAGATGGGAAGAACAGACCTTGAGACACCACGAAACTTCGATACGCTATGGAAACCGTGAGCATCTACAATAACGAGAACGGACATGTGGACGAACCTCTGTAGCACGGATAACAGAGTCCGGGCCTGGGGTAGGTGGTGCCCATAGGCAGCTATACGATTCATATGTATAAAAGATCTTCGACCGAAAGAAGAAACGAACAAATCATCAACAGCGTTGACTAAACTAACATCAGACGTGAAATCGCTTAGGGCGGGAAGAAGGATAACGCACTATAGACGTTCTGGCACATCGAGTCTTGACTGGACGTCGTCCCGCATTTGTTGGTTCCAGTTTGACCTTGCTCAGTTTTGTCGGGCGTGGTATCCGGTAGGTAGGTCGCGGTATACTGTGCGCCTACGGAAGAGAATGTTGCGAGGAAAAGAGCAATGGCGGGAGCATACATAGTGGGAGGAAATGAGAGGGTTTGTTGGAGTTCGCATTGTATTTGTTTGGTATCTAAATATAGTATGAAAGTTGTGAGCTTGGGGCTTTGGCTTCAGATATGACGTACTACTTATTGGCATTGCGAGGCATAAGACGGTGGGGTAAGCGAAGAAACGGATGGTAGATATCCATTGCATATATCACCGGTTCATCCCTGTAACGCCACAACTTTCTTGAAAAGCCGCGGGTGCGGGCGGTGGATATACCAGCCGTCAGCGAAACGGACTTGTTCACTGTAAACAGAGAGGCCCTGATGGCTGATATTAATAAAAATAGGAATCCGGGTGGCGGCAAGATATGACGAGGTCAAAACTCGGGGACGCCTGCAAAACAGTCAGCAGAGGCAACGTCCCATCACGAAAGTTCATACGGAAGTCGAAGGTCTGAGGGTAGGTCGAAGACGCTGAGGTAGGAGTCGCCTCAGCTTTGTGACCCGTTTGCCGGTAGCGAGGAAGCCGCTAGAATGTTGCTGAGGTGACTGATGTGTCCGCCAGATAGCACAGGACGCCGTCGGATTTGCATTCGAATCTCTTTGTACGAAATCAGATTGATCCAATGGCGCGAAATAGTGACATGAGCTAGATCAGCTATCAATAATGGTACGCCGAGTAGTGGGAGAGGAACGCACCAAGAATCAATTGACGCATGGTAAGGGAACGTTGAAAGGTATTCGTACAAGTCATAGTGAGCCTACATCATGCGAAGTTACAGAACTGAGCGAGGGCACCAAACCACGGCCACATCTTGAAGGCACAAGGCGACGAAAAC